GTGGACCAAGACATTACTCGAATACCAACATCTCTTCCATAAACCAATTTATTATTATGAGGGTGACTTTTACTTTGTATGAAGAGGCATGAAAAAGGGATCGACCTTCTACTCTCTTCACCAAACACTCCCACTCGAAATTCAAGTGAACTCAACAATTATGACTTAAGGTATTCCTCGAAGCCCAACATCTATCTCAAATACTAAGTTCTTATTCTTTGGGACACTTTCACTTTTTATGAATGTGCATTAAGAAGTGATTCATAGTTCGATCTTACCCGTAGAGGACGGTTCATTACAACGTGATTCAGTCGTTTCTTAAAAGTGGTTTTCGATGGCTCCATTATTAGGATGATGCTGTAGTAGTTTTCATTTTTTCTAATGAAACGCTTAGAATAGGTTCATATATTTGTGCCACCGCATCCAAAGGTTGATTGGCTCTGAGCTCTGACTGTAGCTTTGTGCTAGCACGTCCTCGGCACACCGATCGTGTGACGGATATCCTCAGAAGAGGACGCTATACTTAACGACCATTCACATTTAATGTCTCCGTGTTTTGATGCATTATCCTAAACCATTGCGTCCGCTTTTGATGATGTCCGTTACACGACGGACGCATAGCGCTCTGTCGAACCCACATCCGCACAAATCTTCAGTCACAGCTCCGAGGCAATCCTTGTTTGACGTCCGGTAAAGCCAACTCACTACTACCAAAATACAACATCAATCCAAGACGTATGCGAACCATTTTACATGCATACATTCATTGCTTCAACAACCGGTACGAGCAGAGCGCCAACGAATGTGGTCGCAGTCTAGAAGACGACTTCATGATTACAGAGTGGGATAATCCAGCCTCTTCAACTGGAATTCACGGACGGAATGGAGACATTAATGGAGCAGATCACTCAAGTGGCTCAGGTTAGTGGTTTTACTCGACGTTACAGGAAACACCTTCGCGGAAGAAGCGCTGGGTCTCAATGAAGCTCTCATTCATTTCAAGTTTGGTAGAGATGTCGCAAATACGGGATTTTTAAACCCGAAGCACCAGAAATGATGGCAATCTTTCAGGCAATTAAATGCGTATATCTTCCGATGCCTTGCTTCCATAAATGTTTTCTCATCCGTAGAGATCGTGTCCTGAGCCTCGGGGTGACAAGTTGCCCCTTGGTTGCGCAACCACAAGGCGGATGTGATTTCCAAGGATGGACAGGCCTCATCGAAAACACATGTATTGTGGGGTTTTTGACAAGTCCAACATGTACTTGACATTGTGCCGTGGCTTATCAGTTTGAAGTAAAAACCTGGTTGGAAGGAATTCGTGAAGTGATTTCACTGGTTTATTTAGACAGGAAAACTGCTGCCACCACATACACTTAATCTTCATGAATTAGCCGACCAACACATGGGATGCTTAATTCATATAACAAAAGTGGGTATGCGCTTTTTCTCAAAGTATAGTTTATTGGTTAGCAGTGGTTCATTGGACTCGCAGGTCTTCCTCATACAATCCGCCAAGCTTCACTTCATAGCAATCCAACCCAATTAACGAAAATCATTCAACCAACTCTTTCTTCGAAATGGAAAGTAGAGTCACAAAAGTATCTGTATCTTGACTTAAGATAAGATGTGCTTGATTAGTTTCCAATTTCACATTGGGCCCTGCCGAATTCGGTGGAAGTCCCGTTTTGAAGAAGAAAGCATCTCTACCCTCCATTGGGCGCTGGTAACCCAAATTTCGGCAACGGAGCAGACATCGTAAATGTGGGAATATTTAGTCCCTCTACCTACGGGATGGGGTAGCGTAGGGAATGCAACAGTGATATGGACATGCTGCTCGGCCCCCTCTTGGTATCATTGCAATAGGTCTTGTGGGACTAATTTTACCTTCGAAATGAACAGTCACGACAAATCAATAATATCTTCCTTGTAAACATTTGTCATGTTGCTGTACCTTTCAGTTGATTTTCAAAAGTCCTACCGAAAGCCGAGATGAAATAGTTATAAGATGTATTTATTCTATTTCGTTTAGGCTGGTAAGGGAATTGGTAGGTGAATTTTCCCACATAGCTTTACTTTCCCAATAGGTATTCTCATTTAAGATGAACTGCAGTTTCGACCTCGCTGGACTCGAACCATGACACTGCATCGTTTGATCCCGACACATTAACCACTACGCCGCAATGCCACGAATGCCCTTGATTCACATTTCAGATGTGAATTTCAAGGAAGATAGGAAATTTTTCCATATCACATCCCATGGTTGGATTATATTTGCCATAACAATAGATTACATTACTTATTGTTGAACTCACTTCCGTTTCAAGTGAAAGTTGTTGGTGAGAATGTTAGACTTGAATTAACTAAATCACCGTATGTCTCTTCAAAGAGCCATGATAAAGGGCATATACAAGCTATTGAGTGTGATCCGATGAGTTTTCTTGTCTCTTTAGCTTGAATATGGCTGTAAGGATGAGCACTTTCTGAAAATGTCCGTCATACGATGAACGAAAGCTTAGCACGTTTTGATCAGAATCGAAGGAGATTGCGTCAACAAGAATTTTGCAGTAGAGCCAATCAACAGCTGATCAAGAAGAATCTGCTGTCGGCTTCTGGTGGGATCGAGCATCGAACCTTTTAACCAAACACTTCCATTTGAAATGGAAATAAGCTCAACAATTGTGAAATAAAAGATTCATCGAAACCAATATTTCGTTTCATCAGCACTAACACGATTCGAGTCTCGTCGAGGCTGCTGATGAGACCTAGTTAAGGTCGAGACTGGCTGAGAATATCTTTTGGGGAGCAAGGCTATGTAAAATTCAATGGAAGCATTGAGTTCTACATCACCTTCAAGAAATAGAATAATTCAGCTCTTAATTAAGATCTACTGGTAGTCTAAAAAAAAATTTATGAAAAGAATGATACAGCAGATAATGGCGTCAGCGTCAAGAAGCGAACCATCATCTTGCTGCTGACATACTCCGGCCTCCATTAAATGTCTGGATCACCATCTCATTACACATCGAAAACAGGTGAGCTCATTTAGTTGTGATTAGACAATCTGTCCCCATATATAGTGTGTGTGAAGAGAGGCCTACTTATATCGAGAACAAGTGGGTTTTGAGACTATTCGTAGAGGCCTATCCTGCCTGCCCCGTGACCTATTTGCGACATGGTCCCCGTCTGAAACCTTAACGGGACTCGAACCCCGAGTACGGGTTTGCAGGAAGCCCCCCCCCTTTTTTTCTGTCGTTCAAAGATAATATACATCATGCAGTAAGTCGTCTAAACTGCGAAAACTTGTTTAAACAGACAAGACTTTCGACCTGATTTGTTGTGCTGTTTGAAACACAAAACTTTCCTCTATTACCCGATTAAGTGTGATCTTATACAAATCCTTAGTTCTCTTAATTCAATTGAGAGGGTTTAAAGAATGATAGTGGAGATCTCCCGGGTGAATCTTTGTATTTGCTAAGAAGAAAAACTGGGTTTCGAAGAATCCCTTAGTGATGTATTCTTACATTACTTTCTATTTCGAAGGAAATGTTGGTTTGAAGGAATTCATCATGCGGTCTCACCGAAAACCAAAGGAGGATTGCCACGTAGTAATGACTGTTGTTTTATGCGAAGAGGTCTTCGACTCACCGTCCTGCGGCCCTGAGGAAACTGTGCTAAACTTTAGTTTGTACTGTCACCAACCAACATGATCAGAGCAAGAATTCATACTTTACGAAATAGAGCAAAAATAGGCTAAACTTTCTTTTAGCACATTTTTGCTCTGTTTCATAATGTATGAATTCCTGTTCTGATGATGTTTCTGACATAACAGAAGAAAGCTTAGCACAGGTTCATCGAGGTTGTAGAACGGTGAACCGAAGACTTATTTATACAATGCAACAGTTTTCACTACGTGGCAATCCTCTTTCAGTTTCCGTTCAGACCACATTTCGAATTCCTTCCTTCAAAATGGAAAGTCATGTCACAATTCGTAAATTTTAGTTTTCGTCTTTAACAAAGTCTATCCCTTAACGAACAAAACTCGGCTTTTCTTAATGAAAAACATAAACCTTTTACTCGAATCAGGTTGGTATCACTACACTTTTTATACCCTGAATCATTAGGTTTTGATAATACTAGTCGAACGTGATTAGCAGTTGCGCTCACTCTTGGTTGCATAATAATCATATGAGTATGGGACAAGATATCATTGAATTTCATTTAGCTTTGCTCCCATGAGGTATTCTCCTCTCGGCTCTACAACAGTTTCCACCTTGTCTCTGTTCCATCAACACTACCAACGGGAATCGAGCCAGGGTATTGCTGCGTCTATTTTCCACATGTGACCACTGTTCTACACCACTACATGAGCCAGTCGTCAACATGGCGGACTCGACTTTCAAGGCAAACCAAGCCCCTTTTATATCACACGTGTGCAGTGGGATCTTCGATAAGACTGGGTCTCGAAGAATCACTTTGTAGATGGAGGCTAGCATATCTTATATTTCGTTTCAAAATTGATCTCACTGGATATTGTATGAAGATTACCTTGGGCCTGTGAGTATTGGATTGTGCGAGGAAGACCTCGCCTCTTTGTCCCTTGATCCCGCTGGATACGTGCTAAGCTTTCATCTGCCATTTGAAGGACATAGTTCAAATCATAATCTATTTTTATGGACAATCACCAAAAAACACTAATTGATGAGTTGACTTCAATCTCGAGTGAAAGTGCTTGGTGAAGAGATTCGCAGGTCTATTCCACCTGAAGACGATTGCGGATTCCTCTTCACCAGCTGTCGACTGACATTCATGGTGACGCTGTTTCCGAGGTAATCTCCTTCGATTCCCATAAAGGGTTATAAACTTTCGTCCGCCATTTGACGAACGCCCTCAGGGCAAGGTATCATCGTTGCAACCAAATTCAAGCCAACGAGTTAAGAAATCCGCCTTCGTCTTCTGGTGGAATCGGCCTTTGAATCTCTTCACTTGAAATGAAAGTAAGCTCAACAATAATGAAAAAAAATAAACCCAGAAAGGTTTGAAGTCTGCGACCATACCAAAGGCCACACCATCTTGGTCTTGATATCTTCAAAAAAGGTTTAGTTTGTAAATGATGGTTTCTGGTTCTGGCGATGTGCATCACATAACAAATGAAATCTCATCACGGATTAATAGGGTTCGCAGGGCTATAAGCCGAGGTTTTCTTCACACAATCCAAAAGTCACCCTCCTTCGGAATCCGGTTAGGCCAATCTAGGAATCGCTTCCAGCCTCCATTTCAAACGAAATAAAGGTATTTCAGCATCAGGAAAACTTCAAGTTGCTGCTACACTCGACTACATTACTTATATTCAAATTGAGTAGGCGTAGTGGGAACAGTTGAGTAAGCACCCTCGGCACACCGTCCTGTGAACCTGATGCAACCATCCTACAAGAGGACCATGTAGACACAAAGTCACGAACATCGGTCAACTACAATGCTACATACCCCTTTTAACCCAAAATTGCGATCATATTCAGTCATCCAATGGGTTGTATGCCTACTTCTGGAGCATTTTGACATGTTTGAATTTGCCAATTTGGGGCGGATGTGGCCAAAACCTCTGCGACCAACACCAAAGCCATTCCATTTTGACCTTCTTATCAGCTACCTGTTTCCTCACCGGTCTCCGGTTAAGCCTCATTTTTTTTCAATCACATCCACCCGTCCTGTTTAAAACAAAATGAGAGTCACAACAATACCAACTTTTTCATATATTCTTGAGAAAAGCTCAATTATCAGCTCTTCACCAACAGTAAGAACGGGCTTGGGTGATTAAGATCTTATTTAAGAACTATTGGTAGTTTCCAAACCCATTCACACGGAACATAACTGTGCTCATGTCGTAAAGCAGTACAGTCTCAGTTGCGGCCATATGGTGGTGTTCGTGTGTATGTGTGTTTGTGTGTTTGTGTTTGTGCCTGAATTTTCGGGCAATCATATAATTTATCCGGACACGTGCAATATATGCGACCAAAACGCTTCCCCTCGGCTGGCCTAGTCACAAATAATCGTTCGGCCCGACTAGCTAAGACACCTCTGCGAGTAGAAGGGAAGTCATCGGGATGGGTTTAAGAGAATTGAACCCTCCATCCGGTACTGCCCATCCCTATGAAATAGCCGGACAGATGCCCATCAGCTCACTCCAGCCGCCACACGGCTGCTCCGCCCTCTATTGAATACACACTCGCAAATATAAATGCATACACATACACATGCAAATATATTCATACTCACACACACATACACACACATATATATATATATATGAAAATATGCTAATGCACACTTTTATGTGACACATACACACATACATATACACAGTATGGGTATAAAGTAAGACAGGTAGCAGCAGAGGTTTGCCCAGTGAAGACCGACTTGGGGCAGATATAAACTGGAAATAGATCAATTCCAGCCTGTGCCATTTAGATTCCACCTGTCGTGGGGCTAACTTACGGCTAGCACAAAAAGGGAGACGACGTTGTCATGACAGGACAGTGCAATTTATGGCCTCTATTGGGATATTCAAGCACACGTTATTTTGCGCTCGCGCTCTTTCGCGTTCAGACCACACGCTAATGCACAATCGCCAGGCTTCTCAGTACCGGCCAGCTGTAGCGAGTCGTGTTTTCGGCCTCGAGTTGGTTTCAGCCAACTTTAGCCAACAAGTGGCCCCTCGTCTGTGCGTTTATGACCATTTCAAAGCCATAGTGGGCAGTTCCGTTTGCGCGTGTGTGCATTATCATCATCACAACATGCGTTAAAGTGGTCATAAGCGACCGAACGCCGCAGTCAAAGTGGGCAACATGTCCCGCCCAGTTTGGTCTCACTTCACTTCGCTTTACTTTTCCATTTTCTCGTTTCGTCTCATCTCCTCTCATCTCCTCTCCTCTCCTCTCCTCTCCTCTCCTCTCCTCTCC